AAATGTTCGATTGGTAATGTTCGATTGGTAATGATTGATTGGTAATGTTGATTGGTAATTTGATTAGATATGATGAGTCAATAATGAGTCAGCCTTGAGTTAGCAAATAAGTTAGCTGTAATCTGAGCCATAAGAAATTAATAATAAAATAGTGTATGAAGCCCATATCTGAGTCAGATAAATCAATAAAGAAAAAAGGAAATAAATGCACGAAACCCATATCCGAGCCCAAAACTTCAACTATAAATAGAGGCCTAGCCTAAACAAACTAATTCACTCTCCAACATTTCTCCTCTACTACTCTCTCTCCTTACTTCAAAAGTTTATTTGTTTTATTTTCTATATTCTTTTGGTTACCAACCGGTTCTCTGCCCCAATTTATTTTCTTCTAGAAGTTAGCAAAAACGGAGACTAGGTAATCCTAATCTTTAGGTAGATATATGTTTGATATGTGTAATCCTAATCCTTAGGTATTTTTAGATTATATTTATTTTATGTGAAATTTGGTATGTGTAATCCTAATCCTTAGGTTATAATTTTGTTTGAAGTTTATTAATAGTAATCCTAATCCCCAGATGTTTGTAGGTTATCTGTATTATATGAAATTTGGGCATGATCCTTATATGTAATCTGTATATGTTCTTAATAGTTTGGTATGAACATTTCTATATATATAGGTATTTGTTTTTTTTAAAATTTAAATTACTACATATGATAATTAGAATATGGATACAAGTTGGAATGAAAGAGAATTCTGAATCAGCTTGCAATATATGATATGAACTTTTATTTTAGAAATTATGATTATGTGCAATATATGATATAAAATGTTATTATTTTAGAAATTATAATTATGTGCAATGTATGGTATAAGACTTAATTCAGGTGCAATATATGGATCTTATTGAATAATTATGAAAATTATGGAATTATAATACTCTGTTAGATCTTATTCAATAAGATCCATATATTGCACCTGAATTAAGTCTTATACCATACATTGCACATAATTATAATTTCTAAAATAATAACATTTTATATCATATATTGCACATAATCATAATTTCTAAAATAAAAGTTCATATCATATATTGCAAGCTGATTCAGAATTCTCTTTCATTCCAACTTGTATCCATATTCTAATTATCATATGTAGTAATTTAAATTTAAAAAAAAACAAATACCTATATATATAGAAATGTTCATACCAAACTATTAAGAACATATACGGATTACATATAAGGATCATGCCCAAATTTCATATAATACAGATAACCTACAAACATCTGGGGATTAGGATTACTATTAATAAACTTCAAACAAAATTATAACCTAAGGATTAGGATTACACATACCAAATTTCACATAAAATAAATATAATCTAAAAATACCTAAGGATTAGGATTACACATATCAAACATATATCTACCTAAAGATTAGGATTACCTAGTCTCCGTTTTTGCTAACTTCTAGAAGAAAATAAATTGGGGCAGAGAACCGGTTGGTAACCAAAAGAATATAGAAAATAAAACAAATAAACTTTTGAAGTAAGGAGATAGAGTAGTAGAGGAGAAATGTTGGAGAGTGAATTAGTTTGTTTAGGCTAGGCCTCTATTTATAGTTGAAGTTTTGGGCTCGGATATGGGTTTCGTGCATTTATTTCCTTTTTTCTTTATTGATTTATCTGACTCAGATATGGGCTTCATACACTATTTTATTATTAATTTCTTATGGCTCAGATTACAGCTAACTTATTTTCTAACTCAAGGCTGACTCATTATTGACTCATCATATCTAATCAAATTACCAATCAACATTACCAATCAATCATTACCAATCGAACATTACCAATCGAACATTTTCAATCAATCATTATTAATCAAACATAAATACATAAATCATCAATCAATTAATAAATCAATTAATCATAATTTATCATCTAATATATATATATATATATATATATATATATATATAATTATATATTATCACATAAATCAAATAATATTACTATTATTATCTTACCTCTTATTATTTTAACTATTATTAACTCATTAATTAAAAATATTAAATACCAATATTATTAATTACAAAAATAATAAATATCATTATTATCCAAAAATATTTATTATTATATTATTATTATTATTATTATTATTAATAAAAATATGGGGTATTACATTCAAAGGAGGAAGAGGGTGAGAATAGGATCATTTGAAAATACTCTAGCAATGGACTTTTCTCTGTGAAGTCAGCTTACTTGGCTATCAGAGATGAAGTAACCAATATGCAAAATCAAAGTCAGGGAATTTGGCTTGGGATTGGAAGGGTCCAGAGAGGATCAAACATTTCATTTGGCTTCTCTTAGGGGATAACCTGTTAACTAATGAGAACAGATGTAGAAGACACATGGGGGATGATGCTCACTGCCCAAGATGCCTTTATCCGTGTGAAGACTGTTGTCATGTGATGAGAGATTGCTACTGGGCAAAACAGATTTGGAAAGGCCTAATTGCAAAATCTAGGTATAATTCTTTTTTCTCTAGAAGTTTTTTGGATTGGATTCAGCTTAATTTGATAAAGGGAAAGAATAGCACTCAAGATCAGAATTGGAGCCTCACTTTTGGTGTCACTTGCTGGATGTTGTGGCAATCTAGAAACAATCTCGTTTTTAAAAAGGTTGTGAGTAATACTAAATCTATGAGTCATAAGATCAGAAGGTATGTCCATAATGTAATTCATGCTGAGAAACTCTGGAAAAGGCTGATATTTGCTTAAAACAAAGGGAAGATGTTATTGTCAAATGGAGCCTTCCTTTACAGGGTTGGATCAAAGTTAATACTGATGGTGCTTGCTCTCTTGATGGAACACAGAGTGGATGTGGAGGGGTCTTGAGAAACAGTGATGGGAGATGGTTGCTGGGATATATGAAAAAGGTGGGCCAAGGAAATGCTCTAAAGGCTGAGCTATGGGGAGCTTTAGTGGGCCTTCAAGTAGCTTGGGAACATGGGTTCAACCAGGTTCAACTTGAAGGTGATTCAACAGAAATGATCCAATTGATTTTGGAAGGGAGCATAATTGATCATCCTATTGGTTCGTTGGTTAAAAGAATCCAAGCTTTGATTGCTAGACCATGGAGAGTCATGATAGCTCGTATAAACAGGGAAGGGAATGAAGTGGCCAATTGGGAGGTTGATATTATTCCCAATGTTCCTCTTAATTGTAGGTTGTTTGTAGAAAAGGATTTGTTGGGAGGTCTAGATCACTCAACAGTCCTTAGGTAATCTGTAGTTTTGTTTATGTTCCCTAATATCCAAAAAAGAAAAAAAAAAAATAAGTAATTGTTCAAATGTTTAAGAAATATTATTCATTATTTTCTTCGACTTCCTGTCAAACTTTCCTAGCTACTACTCTCGTTCATAAATAAAGGGTTAACCTTCTTGGATTCATACCTTCCAATTCTCTAAATTGTCACGCTTTTAACCTCGAGTCTTGTCACCCACCATCTTTTCCATAGACATTGTAAGCATATAAATATTGACTACGACATTTTGGGTTGAATATTCACAATCGTGTCGGATTGATAAAAATATTAGATATTACTTGATAATTAAAAATACATTAAAAAAATGCTAAGCAATATTTCAGAAATAGATCCTCGATTTCACAGGTTATGTGAGAGTTTCTTATCCGTTGATAAATAAATTAACTGTTATTTTTTACCCATCATGTATTTCAATATTTTTTTTCTTTTATCTCTTATCACCGTTAATTTGTCAATGATATAAGAGGATTCACTTCCCAATATTTCTCCTTTTCTTATTTTATTACGAAAGTAACTTTACAATATATTAAGGTCTAAAGGCAGGGTATGACGCAAGGGAATACGATTTCTACTAATATCGTGACGCACGGGATTTTCTTTTCCCCCTTTGTATTTGAACAGAAGAGAATATGTTGGGACTTGGGAGTACGCAATTATTTTTTCCTTACCAACTCATTATTAAAAGGAATTGAGTAATAAATTAATAATCTTAAACGACAAACGGTAATAATGCTGGCGGGCTGTGCGGTATTTTGAGTGAAGACTTAGCATTCCTGTAATGTGATTCATTTATTATTATGATTTATATTGGGCGAAAACAAAAATATTTTCTTCGTTCAAGAATAGTAATTGGGAGAGCAAATATTCAAACTTGTTGAAAAAAATAGCATAATATAAGAATTTCGCTTTAGGAACACTAAAAATATAAGACATGTTAGTCTCTATATATCATATATATTAATATTTCAGAATGATTTATAATCTCTATTTGATTCCTATAGATCAAAGGTTGCCGTCGAATTAGAAGACTAGTGGTGTTTATGGACGAAATAGTCGAGATAATGACAGGTCATTTTTATATACGAATGAAGGGTAAGGAACCAATGGATATATATATATATATATATATATATATATATATATATATATATATATATGCGCGCCCAGTAATAGCAAATAAGGATTAAGGTTACAGAGAAAATATATGTGAGGATAAACCTTTTATTTATAGAGGGATTTTTATCTAAATGTGAGCTAAACTCGGTTTATTTAGCCCATGGATCCAGAAATTTTTTTCTAAAAGTTATGATAAAATTTATGTTAACGAAAATTAATGTGTTTACTGTCAAATTTTAACAAGATGAATTTGAAGGTTTACTCTTATTAAAATAACAATTTTAGTTCAGTAGTAAATAGATATAATCCGTTTTTTTTTAAGGAAAAAAAAAAAAAAAAACCTTGACGGCAACTAAAATATTTTAGTTATTATAAGTAGGCGTTAACAGGATACAAAGTTTGATGCGGAAGTCAACTTAAAATCGGCAGCTACTCCGATCATCCGCACTGTCCGTTGGAATAAAAAAAAATAGAGGAAGCAAAATCTGTGTCTGTGCAACCCAAAATCATCTCATCAAGTTGTTGTAATCTTGTCGCGAGAGGTTGCTAAGGCGGGAATATGGACGGTGGGTGTCCCAAACTACACATAATGTTTTTCCCCTACCTTGCTCATGGCCACATGATACCAACGGCTGATATGGCCAGACAATTTATCGCAAGAGGGGTGAGGGCAACCATAGTGACCACCCCACTGAACGCACCTACTATTTCTAGGACAATAGGCAAAGACAAAGACATAATAAATATCCGAACCATCAAATTCCCATGTGCAGAGGTGGGTTTACCAGAGGGATGCGAAAATGCAGAGTTAATCCCCTCCCCATCTATGGTTCCTATATTCATCAAGGCAACCGCAAAGCTACAAGGGCCCTTGGAGCAGCTTCTCCACCACGACAACCCAGATTGCCTTATTGCCAGTGCTTTCTTCCCGTGGGCAAATGATTCCGCTGCTAAATTCAAAATCCCAAGGCTTGTGTTTCATGGGACCGGTGTCTTCGCATTGTGCGCTTCAGAATGCGTGCGACTCTACGAGCCTCACAAGAATGTTTCCTCTGATTCAGAGCCTTTTGTGATTCCTCATCTTCCCGGAGAGATAAAAATGACGAGGATGGTTTTGCCTGATTACTTCAAGAGCGATGGAGAAACTGAATTGACAAGAGCGATGGAGGCAGTTAAGGAATCAGAGGTCACGAGCTTCGGGGTGGTTGTCAACAGCTTTTATGAACTCGAGCATGTCTACGCAGATTATTACAACAAGGTGCAGGGAAGGAAGGCTTGGTACATAGGCCCTGTTTCTCTATGCAGTAGGGACGGCGAAGAGAAAGGCAAGAGAGGAAAGCAAGCTTCAATTGACGAAGGAGAGTGCTTGAAGTGGCTTCACTCCAAGAAACCCAATACGGTGGTGTACGTTTGCTTTGGGAGTTTGGCAAACTTCGGTGAAGATCAGCTAAAAGAAATAGCAACGGGGCTTGAGGCTTCGGGGCAACAATTCATTTGGGTTGTGAGGGGAAGCGAAAGAGAGGAATGGCTGCCGGAAGGGTTTGAGAGAAGAACGGAAGGAAGGGGAATAATTATAAGGGGTTGGGCACCCCAAGTGTTGATTCTGGACCATGAAGCTGTTGGAGGATTTGTGACGCACTGCGGATGGAATTCAACGCTAGAAGCAGTGTCCGCAGGGGTACCCATGGTGACTTGGCCAGTGTCCGCAGAACAATTTTACAATGAAAAGCTTGTGACTGAGTTACTTAAAATAGGGGTGCCTGTTGGTGTTAAAAAATGGGCTAGAGTGGTGGGGGATAGCATAACCAGCAACGCGCTTGAGAAGGCACTGAATCGTATAATGGTAGGGGAAGAAGCAGAGGCTATGAGAAACAGAGCGCACAAACTTGCGCAAATGGCAACCACTGCTGTGAAAGAGGAAGGAACATCTTACTCTCACTTGACTGATTTGATACAAGACCTGCGCTCTTATTCCATGCGTTAACATACCACTCCACGGGACTGCAGCTCCTTTCTAATCAAATTCAGTTTCTTCTGCAACTTGTTTCTCGCAATAATATATGTAGCACACCAGCCCAACCCCATCAATCTATTCTTCTATTGTTCATTTAGTCCTTGTTATGTATATGGGAAATGTATCTTACGTGACTTATAAAAAAAATTATCTACTGCAACTAATTTTCATTGTATAATCCCCAAAGTATATAGTGAAAATATTAAAGCTACAAAGAATTTTTGTCGTGCGAAGTTGTCTACTAAGGTGGAAAGAGAAAAAAAAATTGAATTTCATATTTTTTTTTATGTACTTCCGAGAATACATAATGAAAATCGATTGCAGGAGATAATTTTTTTTTTTTTTTTTTTGCAGTTAAATAAGAAAATTTGAATACTATATATATATATATGTGTGTGACTGTGAGATACAGCTCTTTTATATTTTTAATTTGTTAGTAACATGTTGTAACCAACTATAAGTAAGGTGTTGCGAAAGAAGGACAACAAGAAAGAAATTACTCTAAACAAAATTTAAAAAAAAATAACAATAGCAATTAAATGAACATTAAATGAATAGATTGATTTAATGTGGAGTTATAAGGTCTTGGGCACTTTCACTCTTTGAGCTAGCTTTTGGGTGGTGTATCCCAAGATTCTTTACATGGTATCAGAGCCTCGCCGCCCCCCACTTTCTCTTGTGGCGTTTCTTAGCACAGGTAGGCTGGGCCTGTTGCATTGTCCACTCTTCAAGCCCAATGGGCTCTTGTGTGAGGGGGCGTTGATGTGCCTCTGGCAAGTGTGGTTTTTCCATGTTAAAATTGATAAGAATTGAGTCATAAGAGAGCAATTTAAATACATATTTGCTATTTATATTGATTCTTTCTATGTCAATAATATTCACCTTTTGGTTGTGTTTTTACAGGAAAAAGAGGAGTGAAAATTACAAATTATAAAAATCCTGTTGACGCGACTCCACACACACGGATGTATCACAGTACAAATGCCAGAGAATTGGCGCTAGTTGGCGCCAGAATGGCACAAACTAGCGCCACCAAGATAATCAGCGCCAAACATGAAGAAAGGTGGCGCCACCCATGAAGCAAACCAGCGCCACATTCATCACAATTAATGGCGCCACTAGGCGCCCAAGTCAAGGAAGAATGGCGCTAGTTGGCGCCCAAGATACAAAGGGTGGCGCCAACTGGCGCCGGTCCACGCAATCAGGTCCGACTTTTCGTATTCGAGACAGCAACTCCGCGCGTATTTGCGCCATACCCGCGCCAACTGGCGCCGGGTTGCGAGGAAATTACACCGTCTTTCTGCGGGGGTATTTTTGGAAGAAGGAAAAAATAAGTTTATAAATAGGATCCTTGTGCTAGACCTAGATATCTCATTCCAGTCAAAGGAGGCCGACGGCAGAGCTCAGAAGGATTCTTCTACATTTCTTCTTTTTCATCTATTTCTCTGTAATCTTATGCTTTTGAATATTGAATTATTTTTAGCCATGATTATGCTTGGCTAGTTTTCTTTTATTGTAGTTAGGGTCACGAGCCCTATGTGAACCCTTGTTACGATGGATTGATTTAGTTTTATTCATTTATATAATTATCTTTGTCTCTACCTTGTGCGTATTTTCTATTTCCTTTATTAGAACTGATCAATCTGATAGTTGGGAATAGTTTGAGGGTTAGAACCCTAGATAGGAATATTGGGGTTTTGATCTTGAAAGGGGTAGGACAACAATTGGTATGCATGCTAGGAATAGATGTGTATTTAATTGCGGATGCTTAAATTATTGCGTTCATTGCTTAAAACCATGAGGAACATTGCAAGGAATTGGGGTTCCAATTGGGGATTAAAGGGTTAACCTTGCAAGGAATTGAGGGTTAACTAATAAATATTTTTAGATAATAATTTATCCGAGTAATTATATGAATAAATATTGTGAATCAATCCAAAGTAAGAAGTGGGGATCAAAAGGTGAGTGCGCTCTAGCTACAATATTTTTCTCATATTTTTAAAATCAAATCTCATTGTTATTGTTTTATTTCTCTTAAATAAAAATATAAAAACAAGTCTTTATTTTTTTTATTTCATATTGTTACTCGAATTCAATTCACAATTTTCCAAACAACAAACCGAGTTTTCCAACTTAAGGGGACTGGTTATTGTAGTACTTGGTTTACAATCCTTGTGGAGACGATACTCCACTTACTCATTATATTACTTGTGCGATCGGTATACTTGCCGGAGAGCATCAGGCGTGTTGAGATATATAGTCCCACATTGGTTGTGTGTGCAACTAATGTGAAGTTTATAAGGCCTTGGGCACTCCCATCCTTTGAGCTAGCTTTTGGGGTGGTGTATCCCAAGGTTCTTTACATATTTGTTTTTGGCACTATTGTGAAACCTGGCGAACCGGTCATCGAATCGCTTTAGGTTAAGTATTGGACCGTTCATGCATCGGACCTGATCAAATCCGAATAAAACTGGCCAAACCCGATGACCCGATGATCCGATCGGGTCATGCATTTAAAAAAAAAATCAAAATTATTTCATCTTGTTAGAAAAAAAATGTAGAACTCATTTTAAAACTTTTTATAAATTTATTTGCTTGTATACTCTTTTACAATGACCTCACATTTCAGCTTCCAATACTGAAACAATTTGCGGAATAATAAATTAAGCGAATGTGACATATGTCATTTCAATGTAGATGAATTTGAAAAATACAAGTTCAATGTCATTGAGAGGTATGTTTATGGAGATTATGAGTTGCAATTTAAATTGACATAATAATAACGTGCATTTTTATTTATTTGTGCTTCATATTTTTGAGCTTATTTAGTGAACCTTATTTAACTCATTTTAGATAAGGAGAATATAATTAAATTTATATATTCATATTTATATATTTATATATATCTGGGTCAATCGATCCGACCAGTGACCTAATATTCCGATCGGGTAAATGCCCGGGTCGAGTTTAATAACACTTGTTTTTGGGCTAGTGTGCTAAGTGAGTATGGAATTTTATGAAATGGAGGCACTATTAGTCAGCTTTCTTTCTATGCTAAGTGATATGGAGTGGGTTGGAAAGCTGATGGAAAACTACCTTGTAGACATAGCCATTGACCAAAATTTACCACTTCTAAAGTTCATCAATCTAGCGGCAATTAATCCTGAACAATCAAGGCCAACTGCAGCTGGGTCGTATAGAGCCATAAACATCTCTCGGCAATAAGAAGAATGATGGACTCTCAAATGCTTCAGCAACATGCCAGTGTACCTGTTTCCATTATAGGCCCTCAACATAGTGAAAAAAGCATGTTATTGAATCAATTGTTTGGCACAAACTTTGGAGAGATACATGTTTTAGCTACGTGTGTTGGCATCGAGCTTGTTCTAAGGGATTTCAATATTATTGAATTATGTAAATAATCTGTACAAAGGGTTCTCTATTTATAGAGAATATTTGACCTAATTTTGACCTAATGGGCTTGGCCCAATACAACAAATAAATGACTAAATAATAACTAAATAATTATTATTTACAACACTCCCCCTCAAGCTGAGGAATACATATTTATCATTCTCAGCTTGCTAGTAAGTTCTTAAAATCTGTCTGAAGGAAGCCCTTTTGTTAATAGATCAGCTAATTGACGCCCAGTGGGAATGTATGGAGTGGTAATCAACCCGCTATCAAGTTTCTCTTTGATGAAATGGCGGTCAACCTCAATATGTTTAGTCTGATCATGTTGAACTGGATTATGAGCTATACAAATAGAGGACTTATTATCATATAGCAGTTTCATATGTCCCTTACATTTTATTTTGAGATCATCAAGTACAATTTTCAGCCACAGTAACTCACAAATGCCTTGAGCCATAGCTCGAAATTCAGCTTCTGCACTTGATCTGGCAACCACATCTTGTTTCTTACTTCTCCATGTCACCAAGTTACCGCAAAGAAACATGCAATAACCAGTGGTAGAACGACGATCAGTCACGGATCCGGCATAATCAGCATCTGTGTAGACTTCTAAAGATAGATTGCCATCACGTTGGAATAACAATCCTTTATCAAGAGTACCTTTAAGATACTGAAGAATTCTCTCTACTTCCTGCATGTGTTTTTTCTTTGGATCGTGCATAAACTGACTGACAACACTAACAGCATAAGCTAGGTCTGGTCTAGTATGGGCCAGATATATCAATTTCTCAACTAGCCGTTGATATTGTCCTTTATCAACTAGAGGACTCTCTTCTTCATAGCCCATATTGTGATTCTGCTCAATAGGAGTATTAGAGGGTTTACACCCGAGCTTTTCTGCTTCTTTGAGAAGATCCCAAACATATTTTCTCTGGCTGATAAAAATTCCTTTGCTTGAATGAGCTACTTCTATCCCTAGGAAATATCTCAGTTTCCCAAGGTCTTTGATTTCAAACTCAGACGCAAGCCGTGTTTGCAGAATCTGTCTCTCCACAAAATCATCACCTGTGATAATAATATCATCAACATATACAAGGAGCACAGTAAGCTTCCTATTTTGGGAGTGCTTGAAGAAAAGAGTGTGATCTCCTTGACTCTGTCTATATCCTAAGGTCATCATAACCTTAGTAAACCTTCCAAACCAAGCACGAGGTGACTGTTTCAATCCATACAAGGCCTTTTTTAATCGACAAACTTTATTTTCCCCTTCACAGAATCAAAACCAGGCGGGATTTCCATGTAGACTTCTTCTTCTAACTCACCATTGAGGAAAACATTTTTCACATCAAATTGATTTATATCCCAATTGTAATGGGCAGCAAGGGACAACAAGATTCTCACTGTATTCATCTTTGCAACTGGAGCAAAGGTTTCTTCATAATCAATGTCATAGGTTTGAGTGTAACCTTTGGCGACTAATCGAGCCTTGTATCTCTCAAGAGTGCCATCAGAATTATATTTCAGGGCATAAACCCACCTGCACCCTACTGCTTTCT